TGCCTTGTATAAGTTGGTAGACATAGTGTTAATGTTCCTTTTTTTTTTTTTTAAGAAATCTTGTGATGACAGAAATATGAGAGATAAGTGTATCAATTGTAATAATGTTGGTAGAATTACCGACAATATGTTAAATAAAAGGACACACAAGAGATATTCCTGCTTCGTTTAATCATTACTTTAGGAGAATGTTATTGGAATGTTTTCCCATTACTGGCATAAGCAAGAATATGAGTATCAGGAAATGCCTGTGTGCAAGTTGTTTCCTCACTGCATTTTCTTCTTAGTTTCTTTTTTTTTTTATAATTTTTAGAGTTTGTTTGACTCGTTTGATCTATATTACCTCTATTTTTTTTATGTCTACAAAACCTTCGATTTCACTGCTGGTGTTTGAAATAAATAGTATAAAATGCCGACACAATGGATATATAAACGAAAAAGCAGTATAATGTGATCCTTTATTGACAACGTTTCGCCCACACTGGGATTTATCAAGTCACAAACAGATCTGTTCGTGATTTGATAAAGTCCACTGTGTGAGCGAAACGTTGTCAGAAAAGATCACATTATACTGCTTTTGTGTTTATATTTCCACTGCTGGTGTGTGCTTGGGACAGCCCAGCTCATTACTACAAGCCTAGCCCACCGATCCTATAATATTACTTTGTCATATATCTAAATTTCAGTTTCTTTGTCACTGTCAGAATTCACTTCTTTACGTGTGAGTAGACTAGTCTACAACGTTAGGTAAAAGGACACAAGGGCAACTAATGCGACATTTTACTGTGGTAACGTTTCGCTCTCCAGGTTTGTCAAGCAGTTAGGTAACAGCTTAACAAAGCTCCTGGAGAGCGAAACGTTGCCACAGTAAAATGTCGCATTAGTTGGACTTGCGTCCTTTTACCTAATGAACATTCAAAATGGTAAAATATCGACAATTGTTAGGTAATACACATAGCACACAGTTAGGTATCTTTATTGTCGAAACGTTTCCTACAGTAGCTTCTTCAGTCGATACAGAAAATTATTAGAACCGGCAAGTATCGAAGACGAGTAATCAGTCCATCACCCTTAAAGTTTTGAGGTGGTCAGTCCATCAGTTGAGAAAGCATTGTTCTCTTGTCTGAAACAATAGTGCCTTAGGTGAGACTAGGTTGCTTTGGGAGGGACTGCTATCCAAAGCAACCTACGTCACCCGGCAACTATTGTTTCAGGACAACGGAAAATGCTTTTCCAGACTGAGGAACTGACCACTCAAATTTAAGGGTGATGATGATTACATCGTTTCGAGTATCTTCTGCTTTATCAACTTTCTGTACTCGACTGAAGAAGCCTACTGTCAGGCACCAACGTTTCGAATAAACGATACCTAATGTTGCATAGTGTCTTACCTAACAGTCTTTTCTATACATACTGCCGCAATTTGCCAGCATATCACATTAGCATAGAATAGCCCACAGCGTATGCAGTACTCTGCTTTTTAGGTTCAGTTTATTAAATCGCAGGGGTCATACAGCACATGTGAATGAGATGCAATCCAGGCAGTAGAATACATCTCTGCTCCACTGTCAGAGGCTTTTACGGTTCATGGTACTGAAGGTCATTATCAAAAACAAGGAGGCAATCAGGGGACCTGGAAATATGTGCAAAGAAATAACTAAATAACGGTGTGTGTGTTTTATTTGATGTTTATACCTCTCTGTGTTTCTGTGCAGTACCACACACTAGTTGAACAACATTCATAGACTTAGCTAGGTATTTGTCATTTATTGTAACTACAGGAGGGCCTCCGCTTATACGGCAGGTTAGGTTCCGGGCTACTGCTGTTAAGTGGAAATAAGTGACTTATTTCCAGTGAGGTTTCTGGTTCTGGGTTCAAGTCAACAAAGAACAAAGCTAATAGTGAATGAGAGTAAGTAATTCGTGAATAAATTAGAGAGAGAGAGGAAGAGAGTGAGTGAGTGTTGAGAGTATCCTCTGAGACATCCTGTAGCAGGAACCTACTTAGGCTTGAACACGTCACTCCCGGCTGCCTTTCTTATCATTGTAATTTATTACTAGAGCATAAATGTATATTTTTTATGGAATAAAACGTATGAACGAAAGGAGTAGCATAAATATATTTAAACAATTCCAAGTACGGTGGTATATGGCATATAAGCCATGCACTGTAATATGTTGAAATTTGCCATTAATATAACAAAACCTTCGAAATTGTGATATTAAAATCGCCTTTGTGAAGTCTGTCAGCATTAAACAAACATAATTAACATCCTCACAAACACTAGCCACAGAGTATAGTGTATTCAGTAACTGATATAAAATTTGAAAGTATTCGACGTCTCAGGATTATTATTGAATTTAATATAACACTGTCATTTTATAAATGTTTTTAGTGTAATGACATGTATTGGAAGTTATATCTGTACAGTTGTAAGTCCCTCCGACTCGACAATGGCTCGGTAATTTTCCAGTCTGGCCGTGGACACCTACAGTGTGGATGATATACGATCAATGATGTGTTAAAAATGCGAAGAAATGTTGAAAATTAAGAATATACCTTACACACAAAATGAATGTAGTTCTTCAAGCTATTTACTTATTGTGAAGGATAGGGAGTAGTTTGTGTCTTGAGATTTTTGGTTTAGAGTTAAAACTTATTTGTTTTAATCCTCGATTAATTTTAATAGAATTTATGTCTCTGGAAAAAGATTCAACTACTTGAATGTCAGTTTGCAGGTCTTTGATCCTTTATCTGAGCTTACTGGATACATAGCGAATGGAGGACTTTTTTTTCGGAATATTCTCAGGAAAATAATGTCATGTTTTAAGATGTTACTTTTCAGTTATTCAGAGTAGAGCTTTCTTTTATGTAAGAAGAGTCTAGAGTTCGTTATAATTTTGAAATGTGTGACGATTGGTGAGCCAGGCAGGATGTTGGGGAGGTGGTAGATGAATCTAAGGGAGTGAGGGAGGGATGGAGGAGAGAGGGAGAGGGGTGTTGGAGGACAGGTACAGGTAAGTAACCGGCGTGCTGGTGGGGGTGGCGTAGGGTACATGACAAGGAAGATAGTCCTATATATTTTAGTCAACACCGAGAAGGAATGTCTACTGTCTTCATCAGTAGCTATTAACTATTATCTAAATGGTTGAAGGAAGAATAGTAAAACAGAGAGAGTGAGAGAGCAAGCAGGTGGGGTGGTAAGGAAGCATGACTTGCATCCAGGGTATTAGGTACACGGTTTACTAAACATGTATCAGGAAGTAAGTTTGGCTTTATATATATATATATATATATATATATATATATATATATATATATATATATATATATATATATATATATATGAGGTCAACGCCTCGCGGCCGTCCATGACCAGGTCATTGTGTTACAAGCACTGAAAACATTAAGAATTTATATGACAAATTAATTACTGAAGACGGAGCATTGTTTGTGACTACATATCATCTAAAAATGATAGTTGCGCAGGAGTCATATTATTTATATTATTATATTTATGGGAGGTGCTAAATTCATAAAGGTCTCTATATACAGTGCCTAAGAAATGGTAGGTGGTCATTTTCGAAGGGAAGAGGACAGCTCCAATTTCTTTGATTAAGAGCCTTTTACCAACATTAATGCAACATTGAAGGGAGAAGAAGAGACAGGTGATAGGTGGGTCAGGGGAGCTGAATAAGACGTGCAGCTTTTCTCTTAATTTCATCTTTATTTTTGGCTGAGAGGGAGCGTCCTCGTGTAACAAAGCGAATGAGACTTGACAGTCCTAGAGTAATGATGTATGTGATACAATGTAAAACGTCTACTGAGTCTGAATGAAAAATGCCATTCAAAATGGTAATCTTCATATAAAAGCATCTTCACCTCTGCTGGAAGTGATGGCAGTAAACGTATAAAACTACTGAATAGTTAATTGAATGAGTAACAATATCCTTACGCTGAGTTGAAGTTTCTCTGTTCATGTTGGTATCTTCCATTATCTTGTTTAATTACTTACACTGTGTGATGGGGCTGTGGTAAACAGTTCATCTTCTATGGGATGTGTTTGGCAAATATGGTTTGTTTTTAGTCTAACCTTGTAAAATGCCATACAGATAAGGGTAGCCATACAATGTGTTAGAAATCATGTTTTAAAACAAATAATGCCCAAGTTTGTTAAATATAGATATGGATAACAGTTGGGGCACAAAAGTGTTGGAAGTAATGGTGGTATTCAACAGTTCTTTTCTGTAGGAAGTATAACTTGGTTGTAATAAATTTGAATTAAGATTGCTAGTGTTCTGCAGAGATAGAATTTAAATATGACATATAAGAGCTGGTATACTTATAGTCATTAACATACCAACGGATAGCACTGAGTATATTATGGGAAATTATTAATTAAAATAAATAGTCCTGGTGCTGCAAATGACAGTATTTCTTTAACTTTTATATATAAATTGTGTATTTGCAGTCTAGACCATTTTTTATATAAATATACTAGACTGATAATTGATTATTTCATCCTATAACATTTTTTTCGCATTTAATAATCTAAACAATATTCCTTTGTGTTTGACGTTACACTGACAGTAAAGAAAAAAAAAACAGTTTTGGCGCGCCAGTGGTGTCACGTATAAATATACTTCAAACTTAAGATTTGTTACTTCCTTTAGTAGTATTTGTTATAGTGCGGAATTAGTACTTGATATACTATATAATAGTTTTACAAAATTGTGAAAGGAATAATATTTTACAAACCTATATATTTAGTAATATAAGAATGTACATCGTGAACCATTTAATATTGGTGCGTTATTATGACGTTTCCACATTCTTACAGATAACATATTTATAAACCCTTCCACATACAATAAAACAAATATTGTCTCCAATTATTTAACCCAGTTTTATTGTTTGGTAAAAAATACTTATAAACTTATAGTTTAAGGACTTCATCGTGTAAATCATATTAATTAAATTTTGAGCAGGTGGCAAGAGAGGGTGTGTGGGCGTCATGGTGCTGCCACGTGATAGGTCGAGACAACAACAGATGGAGGTTCGCGCCAAATTTAAGGAATTATCATCAGAAGCTTGGCCGGCGAGGCTTGGGAAGGACGTTCATCTGGGTACTGAGAGACTTGCTTCTCGTGTCTCATCGTTCAAGATGCCAGCCAACGTACTTACTGAGAGAGTAAACAATGTCACCCTTGAAGATAAGGAAAATAAGGTAAGTGAAAATATATGTTTTAATTTAGTCTGAAATTAGGAAAGATACTGGGGTGGTCCTCTCAGGGAGATGCTTTGATGCACATGTGGGGCTCTTGATCCAATGAACTGGATTTATCATACCCTTTGGACCAAGCCTAAGTGCATCTCATTTCCCAGCTGCTGTATGACCGTTGCGGGTTTAGCATTTCCACTCGATTAAAATAAACGGTTCAAGATAAAATAACCACCATTGCTTTTTTAAGTTACGAAATTTGATAAAGATTTTTGTAAAACTATTATTAATACTTTAATATATATATATATATATATATATATATATATATATATATATATATTATATATATATATATATATAATATATATATATATAATATATATATATATATAATATATATTATATATATATATATTTATATATATATATATATATATATAATTTGCTTTCTTATTCATATGTAAGTATATTTAGGTATAGGTACATATAAGTACAGTTATCATAGTGTAAATTACTTAAGATAACCCCCAAAAAAGTCTATTTCCATTGGGGCCCTTGTATGTAACAAAATTTGAAATTAAGTTACATTTCTCGAATACCTTCCATGATGTTATGAATTTGACTGGTCACTACCTTCCATGAGATTAATAATATTTTTTTGTAAGTGTTATGGTATATAGATGTATTTTCCTAGTAGTTTGTTGGGGTTGATACATAGCTCCTCACCCTCAGATGTGCATTTGTGTATATTCATTTTGATAGGAGTGTAGGTAACTTACAGCCATAATAACCCACATTCAGTTACTAGGGCTTAAACCTAATGAACTGTTTTACATTGACAACACAAATTTAATACTTTATAAGTCAGTATAGTCTTGGAATAGACCTTAATGTTTTATTTTACAGGTCATAAACCAGAAGGTGAACAAGACTGCCCTGAAAGAAAAAACACCCAAGCAAACTGGCAAGGTAATTTATTATTATTATATTTTATTATTATTATTATTATTATTATTATTATTATTATTATTATTCATGGGGAACTAATAAACTATTAGGACTTATACATTGCCTTGAGAATGGGAATTATTCAGGCTTGCTTCAAAAGAAAAGGGTTGCTTTAATTCATGTAATCAAGAGCCCTTCAAGAACATCAAGGTACATATGTAGGTACTGGCAAGGTACATATGTAGGTACTGGCAAGGTACATATGTAGGTACTGGCAAGGTACATATGTAGGTACTGGCAAGGTACATATGTAGGTACTGGCAAGGTACATATGTAGGTACTGGCAAGGTACATATGTAGGTACTGGCAAGGTACATATGTTGCTTGCATGAAAATTATTGAATTTAATTATGAGTTAACCTTTTCTTTCTATTTAGGCTTTTTTTTTTAAAGGTATGAAATTTAGTTTTTCATAATTTTTATTTATTTCATTGTCTTCAGGATGCAGAATACAAAATATTTCATAAATGTAATATTAAAAACTACCAAAATCAAACCAGTCTACCTTAGCACTTTTTAAAATTGCTGTGCAAAAGTGAATGGTTTACTGTCCTTTATTAATTCTTGATTTTTGTTTTTTTTGTGTACAATAATTTTTTTGTCAAGACGGAGACCAAAACAAAACTACTAAACAGTTCTTAATTTAAGCCTTGTGAATAATTTGAATCCCGTGCAATGGATTTTATATACATGTACAGTAAATTATATAATATTTGTGCTAGGGTAACTCATGGTTATATTGTTAAATCCAGTGTGATTGTTTTATTTACTAGCACTCATAAATGTCAATATTGAAAAGGTTTGAATAACATTTAAAGAAATATGGCCTTGGAAACACAGTCAAAACATGAATTTACTATACGTATACGGTATTTTTGTTGCAACTGAGTACTAATGCAAAGCCAATACTGTAGTATGCACAGCATTTCAGGTAGCAGTATACATAAAACTAGAAATGAAGTTGACAGTAAACCATCGGTTTAATGAATTACTGGTGGGGGGGAGCAGGTAGCTGGTAATGGCAGTTGTAGGTAAGATAATTTTGCTGAGATTGTAACAGCCAACAGTTCTGTAACCAACAAACTTTGTCCTCTATTTCTGAATCACTTGATGTAGCACATTTCATCCCCCATTTAAAAAGTTCGTTAAATTGATCGGTTAATGCCAACTATGGTACATAATTGGCATTAATCTATTAAATTCTTCCCTTGTGTTATAGTACATTCATTAAAGTGAAATTGTTTTAACATGGTACAATAATTTGGACTGTCCTTGTGGTTGGAGCATATTCTTACCCATGCACATACTCCACTGTAATGTGTGAAAATACGTAATGTAGAATAAGCTTTATTTTGCACAGCGTTTTGCTCAGGACTTCATAAAACTCACTTCTGAACAAAATGTCTTCAAATTAAGGCTTGTTCAGTATTGCATGTCTTTGCACCTGCTTGTCACATCGTTGCTCAGTTCCATGTATTGGGTTTGCTGAGGTTTTTGTGTAATGTTGGGATTCCTGTGCATTGATATTCTTTACTATGTTGTCACAAATTGACAACACATGGGGAGATGAGAGACCTCAAGATATTATATAAATACTGTTTACAGGTAATTGCAGTGGACAGGGAGGCAGAGCCCCTCCTGAGAGATAATCCAGGACGTTTTGTCATCTTCCCCATTAAGTATCAGGACATCTTCAAAATGTATAAGAAAGCTGTGGCATCTTTCTGGACTGTTGAAGAGGTGGACTTGTCCAAAGTAAGGTTATACTATAATTGTCAGTCCTGTATACTACATTTTAATTTAATTTTTAGTAGTCAACATCTATGATAAATTGAAGGAATGGTGGTAGTTACTTAGGCATAAATATTTTTTTTAATTTGCTATGTGTGCAAGAGTAATCTCACATTTCAAAGTGCTTGTCATATGTTGACTTCCTTTCTTCAGGTTTTTCGTAACCTTCATATCTCTTATAACCTTAACCTTGTCTAGCCTTTTGAATCAAGGTTTCCTCAGTAAGGCATGTTGCATGTTACCTGGTATATGTCCTTGGATATAATTTTCCCCCTTGTTTGCCATGGCATCTCTGCCAACATTTGTTCATGCTTGTGTGTAACTGCCATTTTCTGTTTCTACAAGGATATAATCCATCTCCTGTGATAAGTTCACCACAGCTTTGGTATTTTTGTTTTGCATGTTCACTTTGGGTTTCTATCACCTGTAATTTCAACATTATTTGTTTCTGTAATTAATTTCTGAAGATGATGTAGCTTTTATCAATATTGTCACTTTTTTTTTATCCCATACTCTTTCCATAGATTAGCTTCAAATACAACCTCATTTAAGATTTTTTTTCCAGTTTGGCTTCAGTTAGATTACATAGTTTCTTTTATATAATGTCCCTCAGCTCAAGTCTTTGAAATTACCCCATCTGTTAGTATACAATAATTTTACAAGTATGTTTATCTTGCTGTTTCCCCTATTTATTTTAATTAATTTTAGCCTGGTTATTAACTACTCTTTCCTTGTTTCCTTAAGATACCATTTGACAGGTTTGTATTGTCACTAAAATTTTTTTCTTTTTCATGTGTCCCATGTATCAGAAATCTTCCCCATGAGGATAGACTGAGGGCCCTGATTCTGCACTCTCTAGAAAGGCGTAGAATTAGGGGGATATGATTGAAACATATAAGTGAACAGTATTTAGATAAGGCTAAAGAGGTCTTTGTGGCATTTATGGATTTGGAAAAGGCGTATGACAGGGTGGATAGGGGGGAAATGTGGCAGATGTTGCAAGTGTATGGTGTAGGAGGTAGGTTACTGAAAGCAGTGAAGAGTTTTTACGAGGATAGTGAGGTTGGTAGACAGCAACCACCCAGGGAAGTACTACCGTCCTGCCAGATGACTGTGAAACAAAAACCTGTAACTGTTTTGCATGATGGTAGGATTGCTGGTTTCTTTTTCTGTCTCATAAACACGCTAAGATAACAGGGATATCTTGCTACTCCTACTTACACTTTGGTCACACTTCACAGACACGCACATGCATATATATATATACATACATCTAGGTTTTTCTCCTTTTTCTAAATAGCTCTTGTTCTTTTTTATTTCTTCTATTGTCCATGGGGAAGTGGAAAAGAATCTTTCCTCCGTAAGCCATGCGTGTCGTATGAGGCGACTAAAATGCCGGGAGCAATGGGCTAGTAACCCCTTCTCCTGTATACAATTACTAAAAAAAAAAAAAAAAAAAAAAAAAAGAGAAGAAGAAAAACTTTATAAAACTGGGTTGCTTAAATGTGCGTGGATGTAGTGCGGATGACAAGAAACAGATGATTGCTGATGTTATGAATGAAAAGAAGTTGGATGTCCTGGCCCTAAGCGAAACAAAGCTGAAGGGGGTAGGAGAGTTTCAGTGGGGGGAAATAAATGGGATTAAATCTGGAGTATCTGAGAGAGTTAGAGCAAAGGAAGGGGTAGCAGTAATGTTAAATGATCAGTTATGGAAGGAGAAAAGAGAATATGAATGTGTAAATTCAAGAATTATGTGGATTAAAGTAAAGGTTGGATGCGAGAAGTGGGTCATAATAAGCGTGTATGCACCTGGAGAAGAGAGGAATGCAGAGGAGAGAGAGAGATTTTGGGAGATGTTAAGTGAATGTATAGGAGCCTTTGAACCAAGTGAGAGAGTAATTGTGGTAGGGGACTTGAATGCTAAAGTAGGAGAAACTTTTAGAGAGGGTGTGGTAGGTAAGTTTGGGGTGCCAGGTGTAAATGATAATGGGAGCCTTTGATTGAACTTTGTATAGAAAGGGGTTTAGTTATAGGTAATACATATTTTAAGAAAAAGAGGATAAATAAGTATACACGATATGATGTAGGGCGAAATGACAGTAGTTTGTTGGATTATGTATTGGTAGATAAAAGACTGTTGAGTAGACTTCAGGATGTACATGTTTATAGAGGGGCCACAGATATATCAGATCACTTTCTAGTTGTAGCTACACTGAGAGTAAAAGGTAGATGGGATACAAGGAGAATAGAAGCATCAGGGAAGAGAGAGGTGAAGGTTTATAAACTAAAAGAGGAGGCAGTTAGGGTAAGATATAAACAGCTATTGGAGGATAGATGGGCTAATGAGAGCATAGGCAATGGGGTCGAAGAGGTATGGGGTAGGTTTAAAAATGTAGTGTTAGAGTGTTCAGCAGAAGTTTGTGGTTACAGGAAAGTGGGTGCAGGAGGGAAGAGGAGCGATTGGTGGAATGATGATGTAAAGAGAGTAGTAAGGGAGAAAAAGTTAGCATATGAGAAGTTTTTACAAAGTAGAAGTGATGCAAGGAGGGAAGAGTATATGGAGAAAAAGAGAGAAGTTAAGAGAGTGGTGAAGCAATGTAAAAAGAGAGCAAATGAGAGAGTGGGTGAGATGTTATCAACAAATTTTGTTGAAAATAAGAAAAAGTTTTGGAGTGAGATTAACAAGTTAAGAAAGCCTAGAGAACAAATGGATTTGTCAGTTAAAAATAGGAGAGGAGAGTTATTAAATGGAGAGTTAGAGGTATTGGGAAGATGGAAGGAATATTTTGAGGAATTGTTAAATGTTGATGAAGATAGGGAAGCTGTGATTTCGTGTATAGGGCAAGGAGGAATAACATCTTGTAGGAGTGAGGAAGAGCCAGTTGTGAGTGTGGGGGAAGTTCGTGAGGCAGTAGGTAAAATGAAAGGGGGTAAGGCAGCCGGGATTGATGGGATAAAGATAGAAATGTTAAAAGCAGGTGGGGATATAGTTTTGGAGTGGTTGGTGCAATTATTTAATAAATGTATGGAAGAGGGTAAGGTACCTAGGGATTGGACAGAGAGCATGCATAGTTCCTTTGTATAAAGGCAAAGGGGATAAAAGAGAGTGCAAAAATTATAGGGGGATAAGTCTGTTGAGTGTACCTGGTAAAGTGTATGGTAGAGTTATAATTGAAAGAATTAAGAGTAAGACGGAGAATAGGATAGCAGATGAACAAGGAGGCTTTAGGAAAGGTAGGGGGTGTGTGGACCAGGTGTTTACAGTGAAACATATAAGTGAACAGTATTTAGATAAGGCTAAAGAGGTCTTTGTGGCATTTATGGATTTGGAAAAGGCGTATGACAGGGTGGATAGGGAGCCAATGTGGCAGATGTTGCAAGTGTATGGTGTAGGAGGTAGGTTACTGAAAGCAGTGAAGAGTTTTTACGAGGATAGTGAGGCTCAAGTTAGAGTATGTAGGAAAGAGGGAAATTTTTTCCCAGTAAAAGTAGGCCTTAGACAAGGATGTGTGATGTCACCGTGGTTGTTTAATATATTTATAGATGGGGTTGTAAGAGAAGTAAATGCGAGGGTCTTGGCAAGAGGCGTGGAGTTAAAAGATAAAGAATCACACACAAAGTGGGAGTTGTCACAGCTGCTCTTTGCTGATGACACTGTGCTCTTGGGAGATTCTGAAGAGAAGTTGCAGAGATTGGTGGATGAATTTGGTAGGGTGTGCAAAAGAAGAAAATTAAAGGTGAATACAGGAAAGAGTAAGATTATGAGGATAACAAAAAGATTAGGTGATGAAAGATTGAATATCAGATTGGAGGGAGAGAGTATGGAGGAGGTGAACGTATTCAGATATTTGGGAGTGGACGTGTCAGCGGATGGGTCTATGAAAGATGAGGTGAATCATAGAATTGATGAGGGAAAAAGAGTGAGTGGTGCACTTAGGAGTCTGTGGAGACAAAGAACTTTGTCCTTGGAGGCAAAGAGGGGAATGTATGAGAGTATAGTTTTACCAACGCTCTTATATGGGTGTGAAGCGTGGGTGATGAATGTTGCAGCGAGGAGAAGGCTGGAGGCAGTGGAGATGTCATGTCTGAGGGCAATGTGTGGTGTGAATATAATGCAGAGAATTCGTAGTTTGGAAGTTAGGAGGAGGTGCGGGATTACCAAAACTGTTGTCCAGAGGGCTGAGGAAGGGTTGTTGAGGTGGTTCGGACATGTAGAGAGAATGGAGCGAAACAGAATGACTTCAAGAGTGTATCAGTCTGTAGTGGAAGGAAGGCGGGGTAGGGTCGGCCTAGGAAGGGTTGGAGGGAGGGGGTAAAGGAGGTTTTGTGTGCGAGGGGCTTGGACTTCCAGCAGGCATGCGTGAGCGTGTTTGATAGGAGTGAATGGAGACAAATGGTTTTTAATACTTGACGTGCTGTTGGAGTGTGAGCAAAGTAACATTTATGAAGGGATTCAGGGAAACCGGCAGGCCGGACTTGAGTCCTGGAGATGGGAAGTACAGTGCCTGCACTCTGAAGGAGGGGTGTTAATGTTGCAGTTTAAAAACTGTAGTGTAAAGCACCCTTCTGGCAAGACAGTGATGGAGTGAATGATGGTGAAAGTTTTTCTTTTTCGGGCCACCCTGCCTTGGTGGGAATCGGCCTGTGTGATAATAAAAAAAAATAAAATGATTGAGGTGTATAAGTGGAAAACGGGAATTAATAAAGAGGATGTAAATAGCGTGCTGAAAATATCTAACATAGACAGGACTCGCAGCAATGGCTTTAAATTGGAAAAATTCAGATTCAGGAAGGATATAGGAACACTGGTTTGGTAATAGAGTTGTGGGTGAGTGGAACAAACTCCCGAGTACCGTTATAGATGCTGTGTAGTTTTAAAAATAGGTTGGATAAATACACGAGTGGGTGTGAGTTGGACCTGACTAGCTTGTGCTACTAGGTCGGATGCAGTGCTCCTCCCTTAAGTGACGTGTCTGACCTCACTAGGTCAAGGCATTGGCTTAAGCTGGTGGGAGAATTGAAGCTGCCTTGCATAGACCAGCAGGCCTGTTGCAGTGTTCCTTCTTTCTTATGTTCTTATGAGGGCAAATATTCTATTAGTGGGATGGATTTGTGAAGGACCGGCCTAGTATGGGCCAACAGGCCTGCTGCAGTGTTCCTCCTTTCTTATGTTCTTATTTCTATCCTCATACAATGTCTTAGTATTGTTTATAAAAACCTTTCCTCCCCCCCGTGTCTTGAAAAAAAGATACGTGCTCCAGGAGCCTATATATGTTGATGCATAAAAACTAAACTGTCATTACATTGAGTTGGTTAACCAGACCATACCACGGGTGGGGATAGAACCCGCGGGTTCTATCCCCGCCCGTGGTATGGTTTGTTTGCAAGCGTGTCATTATGATTTCGTGAGTCAAGTTGGTTAACCATTTGTTAACCATTTCAGTCTCATTGGCTACCTAGTCTGTAATTGAAGTAGACTGCCTAATTACAGTGATTTTTTGGTTCTTCATAGTCACTTTTGAATATTTCCTTTAGTATATTATGCAGTTCCTCAGCTTGTAAAGCTTTTTTCTATTTAATATTGGGTTGGATGCATTGATATTTTTGTCTTGTGTAATTTATCATCATTTAAAAATTTGTCTACTTTTAATATTTTTAATCTGCCTTTTATCCTACTGGCCCATATCAAAGCTGATTACAGGTGCTATACTGCCCTTATGGGTTTAGCACCCACATGAGTATACAGTATATAGTACTGTTCCTACTTTGGCTTCAGCTGTGCTTATATAGTACAGTATCTTTTTTCTTGCCAGTTATTTCCCTTAGCTCTAGACCATTTGATATTAAAGGGTAGGATATAGAAATGCTAAGAAAAAAAGTAAGGACTGTTAACAAAAGCTTGTTTTACCACAAAAATTACGAATGGATGAAAGAGGCACGCAGGTTATACTCGGCTAAGAACTAAGTTTTGTAATTAATAAAACAACTCGCTATTTATTTCACCAAACTGTTGTATAGATAGAAGCACCTAGTACAGCTGACCCACATTTTTAATGAGGAAAGAAGGTATAGAGATAAAGATAAATGCATATTTATGATTACAAATAATGTTGAACTTTAAATTTCAGGATCTTGGAGATTGGGAGAAGCTGAAGGATGAGGAACGGCATTTCATTTCTCATGTCCTTGCCTTTTTTGCTGCTTCTGATGGTATCGTTAATGAAAACCTGGTAGAACGTTTTTGTCAAGAAGTGCAAGTACCAGAAGCAAGGTGTTTCTATGGTTTCCAAATTGCGATTGAAAATATTCATAGTGAGATGTACAGCCTGCTCATTAACACGTACATAAAAGATTCACAAGAACAGAACAGATTATTCAATGCTATTGAAACTCTGCCATGTGTTAAGAAGAAAGCTGAATGGGCTCTAAGGTGGATTGCCCACGACACTGCTACATATGCAGAACGCATTATTGCTTTTGCAGCTGTAGAAGGTATTTTCTTTAGCGGCTCATTTGCTGCAATCTTTTGGCTCAAAAAGCGTGGTTTAATGCCAGGGTTGACTTTCAGTAATGAGCTGATCTCCAGGGATGAGGGCTTACACACTGATTTTGCTTGCTTAATGTTTAAGCATTTGGTGAACAAGCCAGGCCAGAAACATATACAGTCTATTATTGACAATGCAGTGAAAATTGAGCAAGAATTTCTAACTGATGCCCTTCCAGTAAATCTCATTGGCATGAACTGTGAACTAATGCGCCAGTATATAGAGTTTGTTGCTGACCGCCTTCTTCTGGAGTTAGGCTGTGAGAAACTTTACAAGGTAGATAACCCATTTGACTTCATGGAAAACATCTCTTTAGAAGGAAAGACTAATTTCTTTGAGAAGAGAGTAGGAGAATATCAGAAATGTGGTGTAATGAGCTCTACAGAACAGCGTAGCTTCACGTTAGATGCAGATTTTTAGCAAAAGAATCTCTCTCATTTTGTAAGGAATACAGTGGACCCCCGGTTAACGATATTTTTTCACTCCAGAAGTATGTTCAGGTGCCAGTACTGACCGAATTTGTTCCCATAAGGAATTTTGTGAAGTAGATTAGTCCATTTCAGACCCCCAAACATACACGTACAAATGCACTTACATAAATACACTTACATAATTGGTCGCATTCGGAGGTGATCGTCATGCGGGGGTCCACTGTACAAGTACCATGTGTGATTTCAGTTTTTATATTAAGCATTTTATAATCATACTGCATTGATGCAATGTGCACTAGTATGTGTGATTGTTATAGTGTCCTGTATATTTTGTATATTTTCATAGTTTTTATTTCTACAATAAATTTTTTATGCTTTTATTTTGACCCCTTCATTTAAACCATATCTTATTATACACTGTGTTAATGACGAATTAGATGGCAAGAAATGGTGTACAGTAAAGAACATTAGGGGGTGGTATTCTTAGTGCCAAACTGCTATTAAAAAATGTAAGATTAAAGGTAAGGATAAAAATAGAAGCTAGTAAATAAGTTATCTCCCTGGAGGGTGTTCTGAGGGTCAATGCTCCTCCAGGCCAGTCCTTGACCAGGCATCCTGGTGGATCGACCTGATCAATCAGGTTGTTACTGCTGGCTGCACAGAGCCCAGCATATAAACCACAGCCTGGCTGACCAGGTAGTATATACCTTCAGTCTGTATGACCCTTGTGGGTTCAGTGCTCGGTTTTGATGATAATAAAGGGCTTTTAGTTCAAATTTTATCTTTTCCTTGGATTGAATTTAATATCCCCCAACTCCCTCTTGATCTCGTTAATGGGAGACATTTTTCCCTTTTGTGAAAACTCAGATAAGTGGGGGAAAAATTACTATTAGCACTTCTAAGTATTTAGATAAAGGTAGGGAAGTTTTTATTACATTTATGGATTTAGAAAAGGCATATGATAGAGTGGATAGGGGAGCAATGTGGCAGATGTTGCAAGTCTATGGAATAGGTGGTAAGTTACTAAATGTAGAGTTTTTATGAGGATAGTGAGGCTCGGGTTAGGGTGTGTAGAAGAGAGGGAGACTACTTCCCAGTAAAAGTAGGTCTTAGACAGGGATGTGTAATGTCACCATGGTTGTTTAATATATTTATAGATGGGGTTGTAAAAGAAGTAAATGCTAGGGTGTTCGGGAGAGGGGTGGGATTAAATTATGGGGAATCAAATACAAAATGGGAATTGACTTTTTGCTGATGATACTGTGCTTATGGGAGATTCTAAAGAAAAATTGCAAAGGTTAGTGGATGAGTTTGGGTGTGTGTGTAAAGGTAGAAAGTTGAAAGTGAACATAGAAAAGAGTAAGGGGATGAGAGTATCAAATGATTTAGATAAAGAAAAATTGGATATCAAATTGGGAAGGAGTATGGAAGAAGTGAATGTTTTTAGATACTTGGGAGTTGACGTGTCGGCAGATGGATTTATGAAGGACGAGGTTAATCACAGAATTGATGAGGGAAAAAAGGCGAGTGGTGCATTGAGGTATATATGGAGTAAAAAAACGTTATCTATGGAGGCAAAGAAGGGAATGTATGAAAGTATAGTAGTACCAACACTCTTATATGGGTGTGAAGCTTGGGTTGTGAATGCAGCAACAAGGAGGTGGTTGGAGGCAGTGGAGATGTCCCAAGGGCAATGTGCGGTGTAAATATTATGCAGAAAATTTGGAGTGTGGAAATTAGGAGGTGTGGAGTTAATAAAAGTATTAGTCAGAGGGCTGAAGAGGGGTTGTTGAGGTGGTTTGGTCATTTAGAGAGAATGGATCAAAGTAGAATGACATGGAGAGCATTTAAATCTGTAGGAGAAGGAAGGTGGGGTAGGGGTCGTCCTCGAAAAGGTTGGAAGGAACTGGTAAGGGAGGTTTTGTGGGCGAGGGGCTTGGACTTCCAGCAGGCGTGCATGAGCATGTTTGATAGGAGTGAATGGAGACGAATGGTATTTGGGACCTGACGATCTGCTGGAATGTGAGCAGGGTAATATTTAGTGAAGGGATTCAGGGAAACCGGTGATTTTTATATAGCCGGAGTTCAGTCCTGGAAATGGGAAGTACATGTACAATGCCTGCACTCTAAAGGAGGGGTTTCAGGATATTAGTTTGGAGGGATATATTGTGTATCTTTATACGTATATGCTTCTAAACTGTCGTGCTCTGAGCACCTCTGCAAAAACTGATTATGTGTGAGTGAGGTGAAAGTGTTGAATGATGAAAGTATTTTTCTTTTTGGGGATTTTCTTTCTTTTTTTGGGTCACCCTGCCTCGGTGGGAGACGGCCGACGTGTTGAAAAAAAAAAACTTCTAAGTTAGGCTGATAGTGCTGACTTAAGAGGTGGTAGTCACTCCTGATGAAAACAGTCTCTGGGCAAATAAGGTGATCCTATGGTGATGAAACTACCAAAGTTACAAATACTGTAGTGATAAACACTGACAAATAAAACAATGTCAGACCTTTCCTGATTTAATTTGCAGGAACAACCAGAAATTTGATTTTCAACTTACTACTATGCTTATCACCATAATGCACATAGGAGTCCTCATAGGTTTGTACTGTATAAATATTTGAAGTTTCTGCGCATGACAGGTGCCTAGTGGGCCGCTGTTTGCGGACCCCTGGCTTAAAGCAATAACTATATAGCCAACTTTACTACCAATACCATCTGGAGCCTAATAATGAAGAGAACCCAGTGCTGGTATCTACATTACTTCATGTGTAGTTTGGGGGGGGGGGGGAATGTGAAAACTATAAGCGAGGGAAAATCCAGGAGTTCAAGGCAATGTATCAGTGGACATAAACACGCTTGCTAAAGTAAGTCTAAATAATGCCTGTATGATATACAGCAATACCCACAATCATCTTGTGAAGTTTCAAGAAGGCAAATTGTCTTAAAGGAATCTGACCTAAATTTAAGATTTTTGGAATTTGCTACCACCAACTTGCTCAAAATACAGACTGCTTCATAATCTCAAAAACACTGGCCAAACATTCTACTCAGGGAATGTTAAACCTATAGTGGTCAAAGTGCCTGCCTCCTGTATATTATAATCAAGACTAAGTGCTAAACCCACAAGGATCATACAATGCTGTCTCCTGTATGGATCTCTATCTTCTCTTCCATGGCACTAAAATTCAATTGGACTTCAGTGATGATATCCATGACAGCAATCATTTTAGTCTATCCACTTCTCATTCTTAATTAGCACTATGACCCTTGTGGGTTTACTGCTTATTTATTATAATAATAATTCCCATTCTTAAGCTTGACCTGATCTTGTCAATTCTAGTGACAATTTGAGCATGCATGGGCACTTCATACACATTATACCTGTTTTCTGTAGGGGGTCATACAGTGCTTGTTGTACTGTTACCTGATCACTACTATAAGCATAAATTATTCACTAAAGCAGTGGTCCCCAACCTTTCTGTTTATGTGGGCCATATTAAATAGTCAAATGTAAGAAGACAGTTAAACCTTTAAACAGGTGAACTGTCTTTTAAATAATTATTAGTACAGCATTATTACATTGATGGGGAGGACTAAACCTGCTGGGGATCATATAGCATCTGGGAAACAGGAGGTAATCAGGTTCAATTCAAGGGAATGAATGGTTCAAGAGCCCCTATGAGGGGAACTGTTTATCAAGTGTCTTTCAAACCGACCGACCAACAAAGAGGCATCATTCCGAGAGTGTACAGGGTGTGTAACCCAGAACACAGTATGTACTTCAAAAAAGAGAGTACATGCACATATTTGTTCCCATGCAAGTAATGAAGATTGTTTTCCCTGATGTGCTTGTAGCTCAATGATCCTTGTGGGTTTTGTGGGTGAGGGGCTTGGACTTCCAGCAAGCATGTGTGAGTGTGTTAGATAGGAGTGAATGGAGACTAATGGTTTTTGGGACCTGATGAGCTGTTGGAGTGTGAGCAGGGTAATATTTTGTGAAAGGATTCAGGGAAACCAGTCAGCCAGAATTGAGTCCTGGAAATGGGAAGTACAATGCCTGCATTTTAAAGAAGGGGTTTGGAATATTGGCAGTTTGGAGGGAACTGTTGTATCTGAGCGCCTTTGCAAAGACACTGATTATGTATGAGTGATGGTAAAAGTGTAGAATGATGAGGAAAGTATTTTTTCTTTCTGTTTGGGTCACCCTGCCTCAGTGGGAAATGAATGTTAAAAAAAAATACTTCTAATTTATGGTACTGCTGATCCTTGCACATGGTAGACCTATCCTCTTATATCTGTTTTTACAGCAAAGTTCCTGGTCTTGATGCCTTACTAGCGAGGTACCCAGTAAGACTACCTGTGGTGTTCCCGGGAATTTGGCTGACTGACCTGAAATTATCCTTGGGTAAGGTGGGGTCTACATAGTCTCTGGACTTTTTCTTTTCACTACTGCAAAACTGTTGGAAGCCTCCCTTTCAGTTTGGTGCTACTGTATGTAATTCTGGACTCCAGTCTGCTACCATTGTCAGAATCAACCAAATTCCTCATGCACAGCAGGTCAGCAGCAACCTAACTAGAACCCACCTCAAGCTTATTCATTCAGTCACAAAGTGCATCAATTCTCAATTTGCCTTAGCCTGGTTGAGAATTATATTAAAATGGCAAAATACACACTTTCCTTGAACACTGTTTTGGTATCCATAGAGGTGAAATATCTTATTCATGGTTCTTGCCAGGAGCATATATGGATGACATATGATATACACACAACCAAATTTGTTTCATTTGTTCCATTTTACAGTAGAGAATATCGATAAACTGATATTACCGAAACTAATAACGTAATTTTATTTAAACATTATGAGGATTACTACAATGAAACATTAAAAGTTTACGAAAGAGGTATATTTAAGTAACTGATGTAACAGACTTAAAAAACATGAACATCACAATAATCTTAACGTCAAACTTAAATAAAATATAAGTGAAACAATGGATGGATTATGGGAACAGCCATTCCCCCAATTCTCGTTCACTAGCAAATCTGTTTAGCTGAACATGTATTATATACGTACATACTCAAAGAAAGAACTAAACTTGTGTTGGGGTTATTGAAGGCTTCATTTAAAAACTAAATACATTATAGCTTCCCACTGCTTATGATTAGTGACTCCATTCATTTAAAGCTTCTATTTTTATTACTTTATTTACTAAACTGATTTATTGCTTTTTAATAAAAATAAATTTACCTATATATATTTAATTCAAATTAATTCCTATAGAGCTATAGACTGTAAGAATCCTTCAAACTTTAAGAGGTTCGTGAGGAACAAACTTTCTTTTCACGACATGGATGTTTTTGTTGGACAAGCAAATGACATAGCTGTGGTCCGGGTATGTTACTGAAAGCAAATACAGTAATTACTTATCAAATACATACTGTGATTCAATTTCTTTATATTGTCCTTCAAAGACACATTTACTATATTGCACTGTATCATTCCTGAAATTATAATCTTAATGATACACTTTTAAAGTCTCAAAAACTTTACCACATCTACTTATCAAATCACTAACTCCATCAACAAAAGTCTGTTAAACGTACTTGATATCTTTTTAAAGGCATCTGCCGAATCACTTGGCCATAGTTGTGCCTTACTGGTGCATGACAGTAGACTCATGACAGTAGCTCCTATCTGTTCAGCATTTTCTAGCTCTCCACCAGACTGAAAAACAATTATATAATGACATTAAAAAAATACATACTGTTGATTCTGTTTATAATGTAAGGCAACAAAAAGCATATTTTTATTTTCCCTTAAAATCTTTGTCAGAAAACAAACCAAAATCACACTTAATTAAAAAAAAAAATCATCTGTTGTAAGCCAGAATTCATCTAAGTTAATGATTCCTGGGATTATTCTTAATCTGTATTTATAGAAAGTGCTAAAAATAGTTCCCTGTATTATCACCCTTGCAGGCTAGCTTAGATCAGGCCTTATGTCGAAAAGGAAATATTACAGGAATAAAAATTAAGATACACATGGGAAAGTAAAGAAAGTGTAGTATATTAATACAAGTTTGTAGGATCTGTCTGTCATCTTCCATGTTTCTGAAAAAAAAAAAAAAAAGCAGCAATCCTGACTGAGTGCATAATATTTTTCAAGGCATGACATAGAGACAGTATAGCACATCACTGGATGGTTGCTGTCTACTAACATACTACTTGGGTGGTTTAGTCACTAAGTATTATATACATATAGGGCAGGGTGTTTTATATATATACAATCGAAAAGCCATTAATTCGTTCCTGCACTCTGGAGAAACAAGAAAAAATACTTGAATATGATGCTATTATCAACTGTACGGCTTATTTATCTATCACAATTCATCTAATATGACATAATAAATAATATAATTAACACAGAAACATGACATACTCTACAATGAATAAAATAGGCCATAATATGGTGGCAGAGGCAGTGGCGGAAGCACCCGCCATTTCCAGTGTATATACAGTGGACCCCCAGTTATCGGCCGGTTTTTCGGCGCCTGGTTATCGGCCATTAATTCGGTTATTGGCCATTTGGGAGGCATCCATCCGCCGACTGAGGCCGCTTGCGAGTCAGTTTGACTGTCTCTGGGTGAGTGAGGAAGCTTCTGCTCATCCATCCAAACATTTTGCTATAATCCATTGCTTTTTGTGGTTACTGATTGAGTACAACTGCAAAATAAGCAACCATGGGCTAAAGAAACACATTACATAGTACATGTATATGAAAACTTGCAATGTTTATATGCGATGTATATTTAATAATCACTGGTACATTAAATGTCTTATTTTATGTTAATACAGTGGACCCCCGGTTAACGATTTTAATCCGTGCAAGAGGGGTAATTGTTATGCGAAATAATCGTTATGTGAATGAATTTTCCCCATAAGAAATAATGGAAATAAAATTAATCCGTGCAAGACACCCAAAAGTATGAAAAATTTTTTTTTTTACCACATGAAATGTTAATTTTAATACACACAAACTGAAAAAGGCATGCACACTTACATGACACTTACTTTTATTGAAGATCTGGTGATGATTGATGGGATGGGAGGAGGGGAGAGCATTATCTTCTTACTGTTTAGAAGGGGAATCCCCTTCCATTAGGACTTGAGGTAGCAAGTCCTTTTCTGGGGTTACTTCCCTTCTTCTTTTAATGCCACTAGGGCCAGCTTCAGAGTCACTGGACTTCTTTCGCACAAGATATCTGTCCATAGTGGCCTGTACCTCTCGTTCCTTTATGACTTGCCTAAAGTGTTTCACAACATTGTCAGTGTAATAATCACCAGCACGGCTTGCAATAGCTGTGTGAGGGTGATTTTTCATCCATGAAGGTTTGCACTTCAAGCCACTTTGCACAGATTTCCTTAATCTTTGTAGTAGGCAACTTCTTCAATTTCTCTCTCCCCTCCTCTGAACCAGTTTCCCCAGGTCTGGCCTCTTGCTCTTGAAGTTGATCTATCAGCTCATCAGTGGTTAGTTCTTCATTGTCCTCCTCCACCAACTCTTCCACATCCTCCCCACTAACCTCCAACCCCAAGGACTTTCCCAATGCCACAATGGATTCCTCAACTGGCATAATCATCTCAGGGTTAGCCTCAAACCCTTCAAAATCCCTTTTGTCTACACATTCTGGCCACAGTTTCTTCCAAGCAGAGTTCAAGGTCCTCTTAGTCACTTCCTCCCAAGCCTTACCTATAAGGTTTACACAATTGAGGATATTAAAGTGATCTCTCCAAAACTCTCTTAGAGTCAGTTGAGTTTCTGAGGTCATTACAAAGCACCTTTCAAACAGAGCTTTTGTGTACAGTTTCTTGAAGTTGGAAATAACCTGCTGGTCCATGGGCTGCAGGAGAGGAGTGGTATTAGGAGGCAAAAACTTCACCTTAATGAAGCTCATGTCCCCAAAAAGTCGCTCTGCCACGTCTGTAGGATGACCAGGGGCATTGTCTAACACCAGGAGGCACTTAAGTTCTAATTTCTTTTCAGTTAGGTAATCTTTCACATTGGGGGCAAATGCATGGTGTAACCAGTTATAGAAAAATTCCCTAGTGACCCATGCCTTACTGTTTGCCCTCCACAGCACACACAAATTATCCTTGAGGACATTCTTTTGCCTGAACGCTCTGGGAGTTTCAGAGTGATACACTAATAAAGGCTTCACTTTGCATCACCAGTAGCATTGGCACACATGAGAAGAGTAAGCCTGTCTTTCATAGGCTTATGTCCTGGGAGTGCCTTTTCCTCCTGAGTAATGTAGGTCCTGCTTGGCATTTTCTTCCAGAACAGGCCTGTTTCATCACAATTAAACACTTGTTCAGGTTTCAGTCCTTCAGTTTCTATGTACTCCTTGAATTCCTGCACATATTTTTCAGCCGCTTTGTGGTCCGAACTGGCAGCCTCACCATGCCTTATCACACTATGGATGCCACTACGCTTCTTAAATCTCTCAAACCAACCTTTGCTGGCCTTAAATTCACTCACATCATCACTAGTTGCAGGCATTTTTTTAATTAAATCCTCATGCAACTTCCTAGCCTTTTCACATATGATCGCTTGAGAGACGCTATCTCCTGCTATCTGTTTTTCATTTATCCACACCAATAAGAGTCTCTCAACATCTTCCATCACTTGCGATCTTTGTTTCGAAAACACAGTTAAACCTTTGGCAAGAACAGCTTCCTTGATTGTCTTTCTGGTGCCCACAATAGTAGCGATGGTTGATTGGGGTTTCTTGTACAGCTTGACTAGGTCGGCTATACGCACTCCACTTTCATACTTATCAATGATCTCTTTCTTCATTTCTATAGTAATTCTCACCCTTATTGGTGTAGGGTTGGCACTAGAAGCTTTCTTGGGGCCCATGGTCACTTATTTTCCAGAAACAGCACCGAAAACACTGTAATAATACGAAATATTCCGAGTGTATGCTTGGATGTTACCGCGGAGGCTGGCTGGTAAACAATGGCACGGGCGGCACATGTGAGGCTGGCTGAGGGCGCGCATTGGACGCGTCTCGGACGAAAATTGGTGAGCGGGTTTTTAATCGGTATGCGCGGCAAAAATTTTGCGATTAAAGTAAGCGGTATGCGAAATAATCGCTATGTGATGCCATCGTTATGCGGGGGTCCACTGTATAGACATTTTCATTAATCCATCTATTATATCTTCTTCAAAATTATGTAAGAAACATGTTACATAGCATATACAGTAAATATGCAATGTTTATTATATGCAATGTATATTTCATAATCATTCTTTGCCACATTAAATGTCTTATTTTACGTTAATACAGTGGTCCCTCGATAATCGTTGGGCTCAATAGTCGTCCTTTTCGGAAGTCGTCACGTTATTTTTGTCCAAACAATGGCTTGCAAATGGTTGGTTGACTTGCTAATCATCGTTTGTCCTGGACGCGTACTCACAGCTCTGAGCCGCCTCGGCCTCCCTTCCCAGCCAGTGTGCCATTGTTTACCAGTGAGCGACAGTAACCTCACTTGTTCATACGAAATATTTCATAATACAGTATTCCATTCATTTTAGTGCTTGCAAGTGCTAAATAAGCTACCATGGCTCCAAAGAAAGCTCCTAGTGCCAAGCCTCTGGTAAAGAAGGTGAGAAATAGGATTGAATTTACGAAAAACATCATTGAACAATATGAAAGTGGCGTACGTGTGGCCAAACTGGATAGGACGTATAAACCCCATACAACCATATCTTCCATCGTGGCAAAGAAAAAGGAAATCAAGGAAGCTGTTGTTGCTTGGAGAAAATTGTGGCCAGATTGTGTCCACAAGAGGGATTTTGAAGGGTTTGTGGCTGACCCTGATGAGCCTATGTCAGTTGTGAAATCTATTGTGGCATTGGGGAGTTCCATGGGGTTGGATGTGAGTTTGAAGGATGTGGAAGAGTTGGTGGAGGACCACAACGAAGAGCTAACCACTGAGGAGCTACAAGAGCTTCAGCAGGAACAGCAACAGATCGCAGCTCAGAATCTTGCTGCAGAGGAGGAGGAAGAGAGATGGAAGAAGGTGCCTTCTTCAGAAATTAAGGAGATTTTTGAAATGTGGGGTAGGATGGAAAGATTTATGGAGAAACATCACCCTGAGAAGGATGTTGCAAACCATATCAGCAACTTGTACAGTGACAGAGTCTTGGCCCATTTTAGAGAAGTTTTAAAGAGATGCCAGAAACAGAGCTCTCTGGACACTTTTTTTGCAAGATAGGACACCAGTGACTCTCAAGCTGGTCCTAGTGGCATTAAGAAACAGAGAAGAGAAGTATGTAACCCCAGAAAAGGACTTGGTACCTAAGGTGTTGATGGAAGGGGATTCCTCTTCCAAACAGTAACTAATCCAATCTCTCTCCTCCTCCAGTCTTCCATACACTAAGAAGAATCGCCAATAAAGGTAAGTGTTATGCTGTTAATGTTTCATTCATCATGTCCCACTGTACTGTTTATGTATTACATCTATATTTCATTCTGAAGAGAAGTTGCAGAGATTGGTGGATGAATTTGGTAGGGTGTGCAAAAGAAGAAAATTAAAGGTGAATACAGGAAAGAGTAAGGGTTATGAGGATAACAAAAAGATTAGGTGATGAAAGATTGAATATCAGATTGGAGGGAGAGAGTATGGAGGAGGTGAATGTATTCAGATATTTGGGAGTGG